TGAATAAATGAGAAATGTAAACAGAAATAGTCTCAGAGACACAGAGGAAAAACTGAGGGTTGCTAGTTGGGAGGGGGTGGGGATGAAGGAGAAGGGGAAGGGACGACACAATACAAATTGTAACTACAATATGACCTCAGGGATAGACAAGACAGTCTGGGGAATATAACCAATAATGTTGTAAATATTTTTTAGGGGGCCAGATGGACTCATGTCTTGTTAGAGAGACCACTTCATAGTTGGTGTAGAGGCCTGACCACCGCACTGTATTTCTGCAGCTGATATTGAATAATATTGTATGTCAACTATAATTACATATACATATAGTCACGGGACATGGAGTAGAGTGTGGGAATGGAGTCAGTGGAATTGTAATAGATAAGCATGATATCGGGGGTGGGAGGGCAGTGGATAGGGGAGGGGAGTTGTTACTTTGTGAGGGGTTGTTGCATTGTTCTGTACACCTGAAATTAACAATAAAATAAAAATAAAAAGAACAAAAAAGAAACTGAGAGTAAGCATTTGAAACCTTCAATGGGAATTTGACCTGGCCCCAACATAAAATTTTATGTCTGTTGAATCTAATAATAAAAAATTCTAGCTTGTGTGTTGTAAATCTGTGGGAATTTTTCCGCTTTATTTTTCTAGTAATTAATTTTTATTGTATTTCACAGAAGTATCAGTAGAGGAAGGGTTGAAAGTAATAAAAAATTTAAAAATTGGTCCTTCACGACAGAGCGTTGGAGGAACACAGATCTAGTCCTGTTTTCAAACTGCATCCTTGATCTATGGGTAGGCGGTAAACCATTAATGGGTTACGGAATTCATTTGTGTGGACACCAGCATTAACACCAGAATAAAACAGGAAATATCAAGGTGTGTTGCATGTAGTAAGGATAAGTACCATTTTGTGAAACTTTTATTTTAGAAAGTATATGTAAACACACCCACATACACACACGTGTGTATTTTTGTATGTGCTCATATGTACAACACAGGGAAAGGAACCCCAAGTTTGCAAAATGTGCCTCTGCTTTTCTCACAGGTATGGGGGGAAATTGCACATCACTGGAAAACTGTGTGTTGCCAATAGCACACCTTGTTGTGTTATTAAATTTTGATTCTATAGAAGCTATTTTAGAACTCTGGAAATTGTAGATAACTGATAGCATTGCAAACTATTTCTTGTCTATAGACATGCAAATTATGTCCCTTCTGGTAGAGTTTCAATTGATTCCCACACCTCCATCCAAGAAGCCAGTTTTGCCTCTTTCTGGACGCTCATTTCAATATTCCTGATCTAGAAATGGGTCTGTTCTCTTTTGGATTTGCTTTTGAACCAGTTATAACCTCTGCCTCGTTCCCTCACTGATTGAATTAAATAAGATCTCTAACGTGGGTTCATTTTTAATCGGCGAGTCATGATTCTACCTTGTCTTGAGAATTTGCACAGAGGTCATGGTAAGGGCTGTCATGCTACCATCGAGTTGTGGTGTTGGTTTAAACTTAAGTCAGTGCTGGTGAAATGGAACTTTTTCTTTTTTTAAACTTTATTGGGGAACAGTGTGTTTTTCCCAGGACCCATCAGCTCCAAGTCAAGTTGTTGTCCTTCAATCTAGTTGTGGAGGACACAGCCCACCATCCCATGTGGGAGTCGAACCGGCAACCTTGTTGTTAAGAGCACACGCTCTAACCAACTGAGCCACCCGGCCGCCCAAGAAATGGAACCCCTTGAAAGGAAGCAAAGCCTGAGTCCCCAGAAAGGCTGAGGGGCTTCGTCCTGGGTGAACTTTCAGCTGGTGCCATGACAGGAAGTGAAAGGGATTTCCTTTGGGAAAGATCTCTCATTATGAAAGGCCACATGCTGTCAGGGATTTGGATTGCTGCTCCAAGAAGTCCCTCCCACGCCTCATTGTCATGATTTTTAAAGTACAGTTAGCTCTCACTTAACATCATTGATAGGCTCTGCCGCTTTAAGTGAAACTACATATAACGAAACCAGTTTTACCATCGGCTAATTAATATAAACAAGAGTTACGTTCCTACGGCATCGCATCAACATTATAACGAAACGACGTTATCTGAGGGCCTGCTGTACACATCTCTGAAGATACAGTGGAACGTGGACCAGGCAGGTTAGAAGTATAAGATCTCGGGGACAGCAAGAAAGAACAGCGGCCTGAGAATCAAAAACTCTAGATTCTCTAGGCCCAGCTTGATCCCTCATTAGCTCTATGATCTTAAACAAGTGACTTAACCTCTCTGGGATCAGATTCCTTATCTGTACATTGTCCTTCCTAAGTCAAACAGCTTGCTTGCTTTTGGTACAACGTTTTTTTTTTTCAAGAAAAAGCTTATACCCAGTGCCAATTTGTAAAACAACGACAGGCATTCTGTTCAGCAGAGTGTCTGCTTGGTGTGGGAACCCCACACTCCTGCAGCCTCTGCTTCCAGGGGTGCCTCAGAACTCAGGACTCCTTGATGTCACAGTCTGAGAGGCGTGGCACTCTAGAGCACCAAAGCTCTTTCCTAATGCTATAATGTCACAGTCAATTATTTTATCTCTGAGTTAAGCATATAAAAAACACTTTCCAAGCTGTTGCACCCTTTCCTTCCTTCCCTAACCTCAACCCCCTCGAATCTCCAGTTTTCATTCTGACCTTTGGAGTCCTTGTCTCATCCTCAGTCCCTTCAACTCCTGGGATCCACCCCATAGCTTCAGTTCAAAACATATCCATTGTTTTCTAGTAATCCTCTTCCCTCACCAGACCATCAGTTTCCTGAGCACCCAAGTCGTGTCTTCTCACCTTTGTTCCGGGGCCCAGCACGGTACCTGCTCTGTTCTCAGTACCCATGCCCTGGGTTCTCTCTGCCACCCCACCAGTAGATTGCCTGCTCAGATCTCGCTCCTGAATTTCAGGCTCGCCTGAATTACAGCTGCGCACCAGACAATTCCACTTTGGGTATCTCAGGCTTTTCAAAAGCAACACGTCCAGAGCCAGACATAGCTTCCATTCAGAATCCACCGCCTCCGGAAGTCCCATCTCAACGCAGCGGACTGCATCTACCTGCTTCCCAAACCAGAAATCCTTGACACCTCTCTTCACTTCATTCCCACATCCAACCGGTCACCTGTCCCTTCAATTCCACCTCCTACAACTCTTGATTCCATTTACTTCTCTCCATTCCCACCACCATTACCCTTATGCAGACCACTGGATAAAATAACAGATCGCTCTGATGGTGCTTTCAGGGTGCCAAGTGTTGTCAAAAAAATAATAAAATCTTCTTCCTACATGAGATGCCTCAGTGTTCATGCCTATTCTTAGTGTGGTTCGTAGTCCCATTTTACAGTTGGAAACCGCAGCTTAGACAGAATAAATAACTTGCCTCAGCTGGGAGGTGCTGGAGCTGGAATTGAAACCTCTATCTCTAACACTAACGCTCTAGTTCTTAATTATTATGTTAAAACTGAAATATTGGCTGGCATTGTGTCCCCACCATCAGCTTTGCCCTTTTAAGTCCTTTCTCCATTCTACAGCTCAGGAATTTTTTTTTATAAATAGAAGTCTTATCATGTATCCTCCCCTTAAAACCCTTCATTGTTTTTCCCTTTGCCCTGGATACAGCACAAACTTGTTAATCGCTCACTAGGCCCTTACTAATCGAGACCACATGAACCTTTCTGGCCCCTTTTCTAGCCAGCGGCACCCTTGGCTTCAGACATCCAAATCACTTGCAATTTTGAGCGCATACCTTTCAGGGTCTCCCATTCGTACCTCACCTCCCTTTTCTTCTGCCTTTACCCAGCCAGCTCCCAGTCACACTCCAGTTCTCAGCTCAGGAACTTTCAATTCTAAGAAGTTCTCTGTGAGCACTCCTGTTCCCAATGCACCGTGTCATTTTCGGATGCCATCACTGTTACTCTACAATGAAAGTACCTGTTTATTTGTCCGTATCCTTCACCACAAGCTCCCAGAGGGTGGAGGGAGATGGCTTCTGATTTATTCGGTGCTGTACTTTGCCATAAGTTGGAGCCCTCAGAAGCAGAGCATGAAATAAAGAGCCTTAAACAAGTGCTTGCTTTATTTATTTATTTATTTATTTATTAAGATTTTATTGGGGGATTTGGGGAAGGAGAACAGCCAACTTGTTGTCCTTCAGTCTTAATTGTCAAGGGCGCAGCTAGCTCAGCTCCAAGTCCAGTTGCTATCCAGCCGCCTGTGGCAGCTCAGCTCAAGGTGCCGCGTTCAATCTTAGTTGCAGGTGGGCGTAGTCCACCATCCCATGCAGGTGTCCAACAAGCAACCCTGTTGTTAAGAGCACCCGCTCTTACCAGCTGAGCCATCCTGCTGCCTGTTGGCAGCTCAGCGGCAGCTCAGCTTGGGTGCAGCTCACTGGCCCATGTGGGAATCAAATCGGCAACCCTGTTGCTCAGCGCTCATGCTCTTAACAAACTGAGCCACTCGGCTGGCCCAAGCAAGTGCTTTATTGAGGGAACACTTTCAGGTAGAACTGGGCAATGGGAGATCATCTGTGGGTTCAGCGGCAGTCTAGCCTCAAGCTGCTCCCAGGGGGAGCTCTGGATCCTGATGACACTACAGAGTTGTTCCACTCTGATGCCTTTACCACTCCCCAACCCTAACAACTGGTCATTGGCTACCTGCTGTCCCCAGAATATGTGTGGGAGGGAGGGGGTTTGGTAGAACCTCCCAGGCATGGGGTGGGAGGCGGGGGACAATGTTCCCCACCTGTGGGGCTCCAGAAAAGGGTACAGCTGTGAGTCCTTAATGGCTGGCACACGGATACACCCTCCAGGTAATGAGGACCTTACTCCACAACCCAGCAGCTAGAGCGTATCCCTCCACATCACATCCAATAAATGTCAGAAGAATAAATGATAGTATTCATTCATCTCTCTATTTCTCATGGATTTCTGGCTTAATGATTTTTTTCTAGTGAATTAAATCCCCTAATCTTCCCAGTCAACCATTCAGGAACATCCGGGTTACCTTCATAGCTCGGCTATTGTAAATAATGATGCAACGAACGTATGGATGAAGACATCCCCTCAAAGTAGAGTTTTGCGTTTCTTTAGATAACCGAAAAGTGGAATTACTGGATCCTTCTTTGTCTACTAAAGACTTTGTTTTAAAGTCTATTGTCTGATATAAGTATTGTTACCCCAGTTTTATTGTTGTTGTTTGTTTCCATTTTCATGAAACAAATTTTTCCATTCTTTCACTTTCAACTTGTGTGTGTCTTTTGATTTAAAGTGAGTCTCTTATAGGCAGCATATGTAGGGGTCTTGTTTTCTTATCCATTCATCCATCTTATGTCTTTTGATTGGAGCATTTAATCTGTTTACATTTAAAGTAATTGTTGATAGATATGCAATTATTACCATTTTATTATTCATAATTTTGATCTTTTTTTTTCCATCTTAAAGAAATCCCGCTAACATTCCTTGTAATACTGGTTTGGTGGTGATGAACTCCTTTAGCTTTTTCTTGTCTGGGAAGCTCTTTTTCTGTCTTTCGATTTTAAATGATAGCCTTGCTGGGTAGGGTAATGTTGGTGATAGGTCCTTGTTTTTCATCACTTTGAATATTTTCTGCCAATCCCTTCTGGCCTGCAAATTTCTGTTGAGAAATCATCTGAAAGTCTTATAGGAGCTCCCTTGTAGGTAACTAACTGCTTTTCTCTTGCTGCTTTTAAGATTCTTTTTGTCTTTAACCTTTGACATTTTAATTATGATGTGTCTTGGTGTGGGCCTCTTTGGGTTCACCTTGTTTGGGACTCTACATTTTCTGGGTTTGAATATCCATTGTTATGTTTCCTATCTCTTTATTGACGTTCTCCCTGAGATCACTGAGCATTCTTATAACCAGTGTTTTGAACTTTGCATCTGGTAGGTTGCTTTTCCCCATTTAGTTAAGTTTTCTTTCTTAGACTTTGTTTGTTCTTTTATTTGGGACATGTTCCTTTGTCTTCCCATTTTGGCTGCCTCCCTGTGTTTGTTTCTGAGTATTAGGTAGGGCTGCTATGACTCCTTGTCTTAGTAGAGTGGCCTTATGTAGTAGGTGCCCTGTGGGGTCCAGTGGTCCAGCCTCCCTGGTCACTAGAACCGGGTACTGCAGGTATGTCCTTTGTGTGGGTTGTGTGTGTCCTTCTATTATAGCTGAGCCTTGGTTGCTGTTTGCATGTCAATGAGAGGGACTGACCCTCATCCTCATTGGTTGTGAGGACTGGCTGTGACTATAGTGGAGTAGCTGTTGTGGAGGGGCTGACCCTATGGAGCAGGGCTCGCTTTAGCAGGATTCTGGTACTTGCCCAGTGTGCCCTTCAGGTGTGTCATCCTTGAAGATGGTTGGGTGCTGCTCCAGCTCAGTTTGAATCTGGCCACTGGGGGTGCCAGCCTCAGGGCCTCTTGGGAGAGGATCCACTGCTGGCCAAGTTCAGCTGCAGCCTGTTCCCTGCCTCGGGCCACCTGGTATGAGCAACAAAGCAACCTGCAGATGGCCGCTGCCCACGCTGTGCTTGAAGGTGCCTTGAGGGGCCAAGCCGGGAACCAAGTTCAGCTGCTGTTAATACCGGGCTTATGGCTGCTTAGCCAGTGTTACAGGACATGCTGAAGCCAGATGCTGCATGTTTGGTTTTGTGAACCTTCAGGAGATTTTAGGAAAGTCTGCAGCATGAGCCAAGGCAGGTGGTTTGTACAAAAAAGCTACAGGAAGCAGCCTGGGTGTTCCTGAAAGTTGGGTGGGGCGTGGTCTCAGAATCACTAGGGTTAGGCAAATGAACGGTGTTAGCCAGGTTGATAGAGACTCAAATAAGGCAGCGACCTGTGTCTGCACACTGGGAAGGGGGAGGGCTCAACAAAGAAGCAATGGCTTCTGCCAGCTCCTCCATCTGGAAGAAAGCTGCCCCTTCAGCCCTCACCCTGAAGCTAGAATATTCAGTTCCTCATCTTATGTCCCTGGTGCCTTTCGAGCTGCTGGCCCAGCACTGAAGCTCAGAGCAAGTAAGCCCATCAGCGAGTAAGTCCATACTGAACTCTGTAAGAGGAGTGCCTGAAAGGGCAGCCACCCTCTATCTCACTCAGCTACAATCTCAGCTGGTTTTCACAACCAGAAATTATGGGGACTCCTCTCCCCGACACTGGACCCCTGGGCTGGGGAGGGGCTGGGACCCTTTGCTCCTCCAGGGTAGGGGGAACCTCTGTAGCTGAGATAGCCCTTCTGATGTTTAGTGGTCACACGCAGGTGTGAAACCAGCCCATTCATTTGGCATCCCTGCTCCTCCTACCAGTCTCAAGGTGGCTTCTTCTGTATGTTCGCTGTTGTAGGGCTTCGGTTCAGCCAGACCTCAACCAATTCTCAATGATAGTTGTTTTGTAGTGTAGTTGTAATTTTGGTCATGAGAGCAGGTAAGCACAGCGTCTACCTACTCCACCATCTTCACTGGAAAATCCCCAATCTTAATTTTTTTTTAAGTTCTCCGATTGTTTTCAACTTTTCCTGAACTCTAATTAGAGTTCCCAAACTTGGGTAACTCTAATTTCTTACTTAATGTGTTTTGTTAAATCCTAGCCATATATTGCATGACTGTTAATATTTCTACAACATAATTATTGGGTTGTCGGAAAAGTCATGACGTATTTTGTCTATGTTTTTCAAAGGTCATTTATTTATATAAATTTATTGAATATTTATATATTCAATGATATATTGCTCATTTTGTTCGATAACCTTTTGCCATCTTTCAGTGAGCTTCATAATTTCTCATTCATAGAAGGATCTGTCTTTATTTGCAAAAAAACTGAACAAGGTGCTGATTTAAAGCCTCATCTGAATTGAACGTTATACCATGCAAGGAGTTTTGAAGAGAGCGAAACAAGTGGAAGTCTGACGGCGCAAGATCAGGCAGGTATGGTGCGTGTGGCAACACATCCCATCCAAGCTC